TTTTTTTTTTTTTTTTTTTTATTTTTTTTTTTCCCCCCCCCCCCCCAGTTCCACTAGTAGATGGGCGGCCATATAAATTGGCTAAATAAATAAATACAAAGGCGCTCTAAATTTCACCCTTTATGTAATGCCTGATTCCCTGATGGCATCTCATAAACATGAAAAGTAGAAAATAAATACTTAAAGAGGAATAGTAGGAATGATCCATTCCTGGTTCTTAATCCAAAACATGTACTACATATATTCTCTTCTGTTGGGACTTTTGTTTGTTTATGCAGTTTTGCTCCCATAACTTTTGGGTTAAAATTAATGTTTCCTATTACTTGCCTAAAATCAAAATGCTCAATTTCATATTTTTATGTGGATTAAGATTTTCAAACCCAGAGGACAAATTTCTTGATATGTTGCTACTGTACCCACCACCACAAGATTTATGAATATTGTATTCCATTTTTGTTCATATTTTTCTGTAAGGGAAAGGAAAATTGTTGACCAGGTGATCAGAGAGTCTGATGACTATATTCAAAGACTATTTCCTTCTCATAAGCAAACAATTTAATCTTTCTCTGCATAGGGAATCTTAATAGCAAGCTGTTGAGAAAGATTACTATGAGAAAGATACTACTCCTTATAACTGTCTTGAGTCAGCTTCTTGACTGGGAAATATATTGCATGGTGTTGAATCTCAAGCATATATGCTTTATAAGTTTTTTTAACCTTTTATCTGTATTAAGACTGTTTAGACTCTGTTGCCTTTTCTGTAACATAAAAATACTGCTCAAGTAAAAGTTGAAGTAAAAGAATGAAATTAGAATCTGGAGATAATGCAGTACAAAGCATGAATCCCTTGGCTCTAATTCTTTGCTTCTAATGTAAGGTTCAAATTGTGTATGAATAGGGTATATAATTGTGTGAAAAGCTCGTACATGGTTGATCCTTTCCCAACAGTCTCCATCCATCCTTTCCATGTCAAGAAGGGCTCTCCTTACATCGTATTTGAATTCGCATCAAGTAGGGCACTTCTTCAGATCCTTCCACTCAGTTTGAGATGGAGTCACTGAGCAGAAGCCTCATCCCCTCCCAGGCATGTAGTTACCCATCCTCCTTAGTACATAAGGTGGCTTGGAAGAAAATAAAATGTATCTGAAAGTTGTCAAGGATAGGAGGGAGGACAAGAACCAAAGTGTGCTATCAGCCTTACCCCCAGGCAGAAACAAACTCCACAAAAGTTAACACAATTAAAAGTGTATATATAGTGCTACACTCTTAAAAAATATGCATTTGATTTGGAATAGGCCTGAGTTGAAAACACCTTGTTTTCAGAAGTCTCTCTCAGAGTACAATAAACTGAGAAAGAAATGGTCAAGAATTCAAGAGACTGGCTTCTGAAAAAGTCATATAACATCAGTAAAGTGAAGAGATAAGAGATTCTATAGTAAAACAAGATTCAAACTCTATTCTCAAAACGTTCCATTAATACACATGTATTATATTTAATATATGCATTTATAATTATTTAGTTTTCTACTTCATCAAATTTCAGCTATGGTAAAAGATAAATTTAAGCTATATTTCTGAACATTAACCCTACTTAGCATACCAACTATCTGTATAATGTGATTGTAATTGCCAATAAATGGCAAATAAAATATCTCTGATTTTTATCGAATTTTGCGAGCCGCCGCTTCTTAGGGCCCTTTATCTTTCTAGCTCTACGTTCAAACAATGGCGGATATGACGTCACAATGTGCTTTACAATTCTTTCCGGTGTTTCTAAGTGTCTGGGCCACGTGGGTGCAGTTGGTTGTCCGGTCCTGTGGAGATGGAGGCGTTAGACCGGGTGGTGTAAGTACGGGGGTTTCGGCGCTGGTCTGTCTCCTTTCCCCTTTGAGGTCATTAAATGAAAGTATTTCTGGGCTCGTAGGAAAAAAGAGTTTTTTTGTACCGTTAAAGTGACATGCGCAGCCTTTTATTTAGTAGGTGCGGAAAAAAACAACCGGTTTTAGACTTGCGGTTATTATAGCATGAGATTTCAGGGCGCATCGAGAACGCACGCCGCTCTGTCTTCAGTTGGTAGAAATCTGCTTTGAGATGCCTAAATACATCAGCCTAAAACAATCAGACGATCCGTTTTCCCCATCCTGGTGTGGGACTACAATTCTGACGATCTTCACTGATGCGCTTTGAGAGAAAATCACTTGGTATCTTGAAATGGGTAAAAAAATCACTATTTAAGAGGGGTCCGGCGAAACTCCTGATGGGGTACAGCTAAACTGCAGTGTTTGTTAAGGAACGTTTCTTAATCTTAAGACGTTCGTGTTAAGGTTCTGAGTATTTTCACTGAGACGCTGCAGTTACATTTCAAATTAGGTGAAGTGACTGAATATTTATTTGGTAGGTACCTCTACCAAGCGGTACACATATGTCTGCCTCTCCATGTTTTAGGGAAAGAACGTGCCAGTTGTATAACAGACAGGCTATGAAATGCACTCGTTATAATCTGAGAGATGTTTGTAAGTGCCTTCTGTATCTTACTTCGTCTCTGCCTTTCTAGCTCTGTGACCTTTTGGTTCCCTGCTGATGTTTGGATGATTCCAAGTTTGGCTTCTACTTTATTCACTGGTATATCAAATAAAGTTAGTGATATTCTTGAAGGGATTGGTAATAGTTCTGATGGAGAATTGTTTTTCAACCCACAAAAGAGGAACCCTGAATTAGATGATAAAGTTGTTATATTGGTCTGCTGAGTGAAATGAGGTGAGGAACGAAGAGAGCAAAGCGGAGTACTGAATGATTCCACTGCCTTGAAGAGGGAATACTGCTATTTTCATATGTTTCAGCAGAGGGAAATACTAATGACTGACTTTTTTTTTTTTAAGTCTCTGCAGTGAAAACAGTGAATCGAAAAATATAATATAAAAAATAAGTAACTATGATCCAAAGATAATTTCATAATAAATTTAGTAAAGTTAGTAAATTTAATAAAATTTAGTAAGTAAATTTTAAATAAAAAAATTACTTTTTAAAAAATAAAAAGTAAAATTAGTAAAATGTAATAAAGTCTACAATTAGGAGTTACTAAATTAATAGCAGTTCAACCTTTGCTCCTTTCACCCCACCCCCAAAGCCATAAAGGATGTTTTAATAGGTGAGTTACTTTAATATGCTTTTAAAAAGCAAGAAAAGAATCACAATAATGAGAGTTGCTGAGAGACAGGCAGCATGTACATTTAATTTTTTATTATTATTATCATCATCATCTGAGGCTTCAAAAAATAAAGTTTAGGCTAAGTATAGAAGGAAATGCAGTAATTGACACTCAACTTTCAGATGAGTAGGACACTAGTCTCTTTCAAGCTAAATATTGTGCTGAATTATATTGAGTATTTTTCAGTAAGGCACAGTTGAATGGTTTAAACAGTTAAAAGCAGCAAGAATCCATAGAGTTCTGTGGCATCTTACAGATGATTTAGGCAGATAGCACCTAAAACAAGAGCTCATGCTACAACAAACCAAGTTATGCTGTTTTTCATTTTTGTTTTCCATATCCGTAAATATGGATGATCTTAGTTGGAGAGAAGAAAAATATAGGTCAGTTAGAAAGCGGAGATTCCAGGAATAATATTGCAACTTAATTTTAATTTATCAAGCATTTAAATGGTCTCTTCCTAAAGTATAAAAAAGTTATGTTGCTTTAAAATAGCAAAGAAGTGTTACATTATTTCCATGAATGGAAGGAGTTTGAACAAGCCTTCCATTCTTTTCTTTCTTTCCCTATACAGAAAGGAGCTTTAAGCCATGGAAGGAGGAATAACAATATTCAGTTTTATTTTGCCCAATTCTTGAGTTGGTGTTTGTGTGAATTGGGGATTGTGATTTCGGATAAATTCTGTCCAACTGTAAACAAGCTAGCCAAACAGAAAATAACTCAAGGTTGGTAGTTGGCTTATTTACCAATTTCTACTTTATTTTAAATGATATTCTGGCTTTGCATGTAACAAGCTTCAAAGCAAACAAAATAAAACCGAGTTCTAGTTTATTCTTCCTCCCAGGCTTTCTTGGGGGCTTCTATATATATGTGGCATGCTGGCTCCCATATTGTTCACCAGCTCCTTTCCACTCTATATAGCATTAAGGCAAGCTTTCACATTACATATGAATGAAACATTTTCAGATACTGATTCCACTGTAATCAAATTGAACCAGGTAAACATTAGGTGACATGCATATTCACTTTTTAACCTCCCTCAGGTTATGTTTGTTGACCTCTAAGATCATAGATGCTTTATGAATCAGGCATTTGCTGGAAAAATGGTTCTCGTAGGAACCAATCTTATCATTTAGACTTCCTTCAGTGGATCATGCTGAGACGCAGGTAGTCCGACTCAGGAACTTTCTAAGGTACATTGGACATCATCCCCCCTCTTCATCCATAGATTCAGTTTTCATCAATAACGTTCTGCTGCTGGTTATGTTATATTAATTCTGTGTTTTTTGTAAGTTCCCATGTGGCTGTTTTATGATGGGCAGCATCTAGATGTAATAAATAAAATAATAGCATTGTAGATTGTGTTTAAATATTTTGTGAAACTTAATTCTTGGTTTGTATGTTTGGTTTTTCTTTTTTGTACTATCATGGCAGAAAGCCTAAAACGAAGAGAGCCAAAAGATTTCTTGAAAAAAGGGAGCCAAAGCTGACAGAAAATACCAAAAATGCAATGCTCATAAAAGGAGGAAATGCAAGTTTAACAGTAGCAGAAGTACTCAAAAATATTGTAAGTATGTTTAGAAATTTCTATAAAAGTAATGTCTTGTCATTTCTTTGTGAATTTGATCCAGGAAATAGTTACTGTAAATAATTTTTTTTAGATTTTTTTATCACGCCTTTATTATTTTTATAAATAACTCAGGGTGGTGAACAAACCTAATACTCCTTGTTCCTCCTCCTATTTTCCCCACAACAACAACCCTGTGAGGTGAGTTGAACTGAGAGAGAGAGACTGGCCTAAAATCACCCAGCTGGCTTTCATGCCTAAGGCAGGACTAGAACTCACAGTCTCCTGGTTTCTAGTCTGGTGCCTTAACCAGTAGGCCACCTTGGCTCTTTAATTCCTCTATTCTAATTCTAATTCCTCTAAAGTCAAAATCCGGAGCACAATGAATTAAGTATCCAATGGTTAAAGTCTCAGCGTTTGATTTTTAGTTGTTTGTGCTCCAGATTTTGGTCTTATTTCCCTTGTAAGACAGTTAATAAGGTAAATATGTTCTCTAGCAGTTGTATGCTATAAATTAGTTTATGAAACTTGTGGGGATGTTAACTTTTGTTTACTGATGTTAGAATTGTGTTGACTGCAAGCCCAAGTCTCGAGTTTATGGAACCCTTACAGGTGCTTTAAAGGATGTCCTGAGACCTGCTCCTTCTCAGCGTTGTCACTTGGTTCTGCCCACTCTGACTTCCTAAATATATCTGTATTCATTTAATTTATTTGGATTTCCATCCTGAGGGCTCAAGGAGACTTACCTCTAAAGGGCTCCCATTATAAACAGGTCATGTTGTTAGAGCTGGAGGAAGAAAAGTAGGTAAGAGAAGGGAAAGGAAAACACAGTTTTAAAACATTCCAGTGGAGGATACCATCCATGAAGCTGAGAGGTCATTTTTTACTCTGTCAGAAGGGTTCTCCAATTCGGCCAGGGTAGGATGAAAGTGACTTCCAACAGTAAAGCATAATCTGTTTAATACAATTTTCAGAACCTGAGAAAGGGACAGGAGTGAGGGGAACCAGATGCTGATCCAGATGTTAACACAATGTTGCTGCTCCATTACCATTGTGGGAGAATGTAATGGTCTGATTCAGAAAAAGCCTTTGTAGTGAAATGAGACTGTTTGTGTCTCACAGTTGCTACAGGAACCAGCAAGGGATTAGCAGAGCTATTTGATAGACCCATTATTGGAAGCCTGTTAGTGAGCTTAAAGCCTGGTGAAGTCTCTCAGGAACTCATTAATCTAGGCTTTATTTGTTCTAAGTTGATCTAAACAAATACATTTCCTTTTTATTTAAAACTTTTATTTGAAGAATGTTTCATTGTTAAATGCTACTTCTAAACTCAAATGTTCTTTTCTTATAGTATGCCCTGAAAAAGCCCTTTGCTGTCCTATATAAAAAGTAAGTGATATATTACTGATGTATTTTTCTCAGATATTAAAATGTGATATGGATCTGTGTGGCATTTAGCTATATTATACACACACACACACACGAAAATTTCAAATGTTGGCTTATCCACAGGTGACACATTTTTCATGGTATTTTGGTTTAAAATTTGAGGGTCAGCTTATCTGCAGATGGGCTTATTGACAAGCATATATGGAAGTTGGAGGGATTTTTATGTTTAATGCAGGAAAATATCTATGAAATGCTGCATAATAGAAAGTGTACATAGCCAAGCAAATCATTTGGTGTGTAACAGCCTTACCCAATCTAATGCTTTTTAGATATATAAAGTTACAATTTCCATTGGCTCTGCTGACTGGGAAGGTTGGGAGTTATCATCTAATACACCTGGAGGGTATGTTCAAGGGCTTTCTATTGCAGCACAAATACATTTCCAAAGAATTATGTGTATTAATGAGTGATAGCTTGGTATTGTAAGCAGTGATAGAAAGAGGACCCCCATGTTTGGAAGAGATATATCAGAAGCTGGGGACAAATAATTTGCTGATATAGTGCCCAGGAATATTTAATTAGTCACTGTCTGGACTGGTAAGGTGGTGATGACCTGATGACTAGCATCAAAAAGGAATGGCATAGCAGTTCTCAGATAAGTAAAGTAGCAGCATTTCACTTTAGGATCAGTTTGCACATCACGCTAAACCATGCTGTGTTCAGATAGTACCCACTGGCTGCTTCTGCTAGTAGGCATAACTAGCAAGCTATAGAAGGAGGCATCCGTAGTTTGCTTAGCATATAATATGAACCAGGCATTCTCTTTGTTTTTTGGCTTCTTTCTTTAGCTGGTTTGAAGGTTGGTTAAAGCAGGTATCAAAGAGTTAAAAAAAAATTTCTGTGTTCTTCAGAAAGAATATCACAAGACCCTTTGAAGACCAGTCCTCCTTGGTGAGTATTAGATTTAAGCTTGTGTATGTGAGATAGCAAAATAAATTCAAACAGTAGCTTTCTGGAATTGTGTGAAATTTAATTGGCTACAGAACATCCAGTCCGTATTGGCTGTCCTCAACTTTGTGTTCAACTAGCTCTCTCTTGTCTGATGTCACCAAGATGCTTTGGACGACAACGCTTTCTCTGTAGGAGAAATGATTGAAATTGGAGTTCAAAACATCTTGAGGAGAGAGGAACCAAAGAAGGCTGCTCAACCATAGTTACAGTGCTGGAAACCAGCAGCTGTGAGGCATATGTGCCACTGCCTATTGCGTATCCTTTTCTGGTGCAGCCGTGGTGAGGAATTTTGAACATTTTACTTATGGCTTATTAGCAACTTGTCATCTGAATCCAAGGGAGTTCTAAATACTAACTGTAACTTGCTTGAAACATGCCAGGATTAATCACAATCTGAATGACATAAATGTTGAGTGACTTAAATTACAGTTAATCTAAGCTGAAAGCAACGATTTCTAGGTTTCCCAAGCTGAAGCTGTTTTTCAGTCATGTCAAACTGTGAGTTACCTTGATATATAAATTGGGCCATGGAAACAAGTAAAATATTGCTGTTGGTTCTTTTCTAAATTCTCTAGTAATACTCTTTTTTGCCTCTAGATGGGTCTGTTGTAGAAGAGATAGCTCATGCTTTACATTTACCAGCGTCTGATATTATTGTTGCTGTCGTTGTTATATTTTATCCAACTTTTTATATATATATATATAATATATATATATTGATCAACTCAAAATGGCAAACATACTCAGTACTCCTGCCTCCTATTTTTCCACAACATTTTCTAAGACTTAAGAATAGCTTCCATGCCTTATAGTAACCTACTGTAGCTTGAAAAAGCAAAATATATTTTGATTATAAGCTAAAAATGAGAATATTGTTTTTACATGATTTTTTTTTCTCTGTGGGTTACATTATGGGTGTGGAACAGTTATGAATAAAAGGAACAATAATCCTGTTGCTTTGATTTATGGCTTACCCTGAGGTCAAACTGAGACGTTCACTCTCAGTTTGAAGCTGCTCTTCATTGCGACTGTATACATTAACTCGGAAGGAACTGGAATTTGAAAGCCCTCTGTCAGTCTTTGGAAAAAATACAGTGTTGGGTGCTTTGTAAATAATACATTATGATAACAATTTCTATTCAGTTAACCTTTCTGAATTTCTGGGGAAAAAAAAAGGTAACTGCAAGGTTTTTGCTGTTTTTGACCCAAAGTACTCCATAGAGTGTTTTGATTGCATCATACTCAGTTTTTTAGTGCTCGCACTCTCTCTCTCTCTGAAGAAGTGCCCCAGAGACCTGAGGAGCCTTAAAGATCATGAGGCACGGAAAAACTCCACCAACTTACAGCATGCAGATTACTTCCATATACTGTTGATCATTAAAACCATCAGTTGTGTGGCCAAGGTTGGACAGGGACTCCTTTTCCAATGCCAGGGTCAAAGCCCCAGTGGTGATGCAGGCCATCTTAAGGTTGCCCTGATCTGTCTGTAAGTCAGTAAGCCAGAGTGCATATTACTTTTCCATTAGAATAGATTAGCTTTTACAGCCATTCCTCATTTAGCGACTACCTCAGTTAGCAACCATTCGCAAATACAGTGGTAATAAACAGTAATAAAAAATTCATTTTCCAACCAATGCACTCATTTAGGACCAAATTTTGTGGGCCTGACACAAAAGCCCTCAATGTGAAACTAATTAAAGTCTGGTCAGTTTCAGGCAGCAGAGGGTTCTAATCAATTAATTAAGGTTACAGAGCTGAGCTTGTTAACTTGAGTTAGCACTTTTTAGGGAAGTGCTGCACTTTGGAGAAAAGCAACTCAGGAAGAAATAGCTTGTTTAGGCAATCTCTCTCTGCCCTGCAAGGGGACAAAAAAGGGGGCAAAAAAAGATCAGGCACAGAACACTGTATAAGAGAACTTTATTGGAATGGGACAGCAGCAACTAGTGTTCTTTGCAACGTCTCTCTCTTTCTCTGTTCACTTAGCAACCATTTCACTTAACGGCCAAGTCATTGGATGGAACACAGTCACTAAACAAGGAGAAGGTGTAACTGGGAATTGTAAGCCAATGGAGTCTTCTCTTTTGGCAAGATTTACAATGATGTAGTAGCCACTCATTCTTCTCAAGTTATGTCTTGAAATCTGTTTTTGTGTTGTGCTTTGCAAGATGTTTCAATATATTTAAAACTCTGTGATCTCCCATTATTAGGAATTTTTTTCCAAGAAGTCTGATTGTTCTTTGTTCCTGTTTGGATCACATAGTAAGAAGAGGCCTAATAATCTGATCATAGGTAATGTGTCTGGGTTTTATTTATGTAATTATTGTGGGTTGGAGGAAATAGATCAAGAGGCTCTCACTGTGCGAAAGCAAGTCTGTCCTTGTCTTGAGCCAAATAGATGGAATTTAGAGGAAGGGTCAGCAGAGGAATTGTGGTCAAGGCCAGCCGACACAAGCTCATCGCCTTCAGGTTTACAATCAGTGCAGATAGAGAACAGCCCTTTGATAGACCTGCTTGGCTATCTTTGTCTAAAATCTTCAGTATTCAAAGTTTCTCTATCATTTATGACCTGATTAGCACATAAAGATAAGCCATAATGTGATTTCTTTGATTAGCTTGATGAACAGACTAGGCCAGTATGGTTTGTTCAATAGTGTAACTTTCTATGATGTCCAGTGAGATAGAGTAAAAGGTGGTGCTAGTCTTGTTATGGTATCAGGTTTCCTAATTCTTCTCTTTAAGGAAAAGCATACGAAGCTACTGTATGTTTTCAAAGGTATCATAAAGATACATGAAGAATCGTGTTTGTTATAATCTTCTTATATGTGTAATCTTTGTTACATGTACCATAAACACTGCATTCATTCTAAAATGGAAGCATATTGCATTGATTAAAGACAAAATTTAATTACTTCCCACTCTCTTTTGGTAGGTCGTATGTATGACTATCACATTCTGGATATGGTTGAACTGGGCATTGAGAAGTTTGTAGCCCTCAGTGATATCAAGGTAACGTGTTTCAAAATATTACTAGTTCTCTTGTAACAAATGCTTACTGACATAATTTGTTTGGGGATCTCAATTTTTTTCTCTTTCTTCTGGGCTCTGCTTCTAAACTGCTGTTTGATCAGTCTTTTAATGTAGTTTGATCTTTACGCATGCATGCATGCCTTTGAGTCAGCATTGACTCCTGGCAACTGCCTGGACAAGTCCCTGCAGTTTTCTTGGGGAGAGTTCAGCAGGGGGTTGCCCCTGCCTCCCTCCCCCGGGGTGG